AAGCTGTGGCTGCCCCCTCCCTGGCAGTGTCCAAGGCCAGGTTGGATGGGGCTCTGAGCACCCTGGGCTGGTGGAAGGGGTCCCTGCCCGTGGCAGGGAGTTGGAACGAAATGATCTCTAAGGTCCCTTCCAACCCAAACCATTTGATGAGTCTGTGATTCCACCGTCCTGTTTCCAATGACACAACAGACGCCTTCTTCATCTTTCTCTAAATAAACCCTGCAAAGACACACAAGGACACGTTTAAAAGCCTTGGAGTTCCGTTACCACCCGCTTCTCAGCCTTTCCTCCAGAGCAGCCCAGCAGCAGCGAGCACAGCCACCCTGTGGAAAGCAGGCCGTAGCTGAACGGCAGCTTTGTTTTCTTTAATAACAACTCCGTACAGGAATACAATAGGAAAGGCACTCCCTGGAGTATCCGTAATGCTTCCAGAAATAAGGCAGCTGCGTTTGAGGCGGCGCCCCCTTTACGAGCCCCCGAGCCTGGCAGATAAACAGCTGGTTTGTAAGTCACTTAGGGCTGGACCAAATCAACCCCAATATTCCCCATTTTCCAATTGCCACCAATTCAGGGCAGCCCCGACCTAAAATCCGAGGGCTCCGCGGATCCTTGTCGCACGGCTGGAGCTCAGCTTCCTGTATCGATTTTCAAGCCACCAGCATTTTCAGTTGACAAAGGGGTTCGGTGCGTTCACCCGCTAACGCTGAACACATACGAAGTGGAAAACGCAGCTCACGCTCGGCAGTTGCACCCATTTTGTAGGGTTTGACATGCAACATGGGCAGCTTCAGGGTGAGGGTCGTGGTATTGCTATCAGCGGCTTTTGGGGGGAATTTTTGTCACACCCACAGCAGCAGATTTTGAGGATGGGGCCTGGGAAGTTTCTCTGCAGGTCGAGGAATCAAATGTGATTTAAAGGCTTGTGGAAGCTTGAAGAAAGCCCGAGAAGCTGTGATTCCTCTGCGGGTAATGCTGGCGGGCGGGGAGTGAAAGAGTTTGGAGGACAGCAGCTACGATCAGAACCGGCCGACCAATTCTGCGGCCACGAGCACACGAAGGAAAGCAGGCTGTCATTTAGGTAATTAAAGAGAAACCGGAAAATTACAGGAAAGAGTTAACAAGGGGAAACCATGGCGCAAGTGCTGTGTTTCACCGCAATTAATTTCATGGCAGTGGGCAGAGCCAGAGCCTCCCACCCTGAGCTGCCCCCACGCAGGGAAAACGCTGGCGCAGCACTCGGCCGTGTCGACGTGGCACGGGGTGTCCCAAAAGACACGCGACCGAGCAGCCCACTCCTGTCCTGGCAGTTGGTGTCCTACACCCCGGAGAACCACCATGGATCAAGGACTAAATGTGTTGGGTGCTGCAAGAAAGATACAGCAAAGGCATCGCCTTTATTAGCTTCTTTGAGCTTTTAGTTAAAAAATAAGTTCAAATTCTGATAAGGGAACACATCTTGCCCAACAGTCAAAGACAAAATCAGTTAAATGCTAAGAAGCCGGTCACGTTATGTTTGGCCGTCGCTAAAAGAGCCTGTACAAACACCTGACCTTGTTACAAGCCTTCGTTGGAATAAATCGCCCCTGACTGGGGAAGCGTTGCTTCGCCCCTCTCGTGGGTGACAGCTCTCACAGAATCACAGCATGGTGGGGGTTGGAAGGGACCTCTGTGGGTCACCCAGCCCAACCCCCTGCCGAAGCAGGGTCACCCAGAGCAGGCTGCACAGGACCGCGTCCAGGCGGGTCTTGAATATCTCCAGAGAAGGAGACTCCACAGCCTCCCCTGCCACAACCTCTCCCCTTTCAACAATGTAGGAAGCAGCTCTAATTGCACTAATTGGGAACTTCTTCTAAACATTATTTGTCTCTCTCTACACGGCAAGAAATCCAGAACGAAAACAATAAAATAATCAAAAAAAAAAAAAAAAAGAATACTTGGCTGTGTCATACTCTATAAATATTTCTGAGCCACCGTAAAAAAAAAGGTAAGAAAAACAGTTCCTGTGTCGTAACAACTACACACTTGAGATTCTTAAAAAACAAGCTAATATTTAACCTGAGCTCTCCTCTGTAAAAATAGTTTTGTTAATCTTGGCACAGTTCCATGTTGTATTTCCAGATAAAATATCCGCCCACGTAGTCACATCTTTTTGCCACTTGTGAGTCTTTCAAATGCTCCGAGAACCACAGAAAAACATCAGGTAGCTTTCCGCTGCAGCTGAGGGGCTGATGATCTTCAGTGCTCAAAAGTAGTTCTATATCGGAAACTTCTTCATCCACTGTCGAAAATTAAAGATTTCTATGAAAAGACAGGAAAATTTCCTCTAAAATCTGTTAAGCACTCACCTATGTGTCACTTTACTATCTAAATTTTCACACTGCAAACAGCGTAAAAACAGAGTAAAAATACAAAGAGGGGAAAGGTAAACAAGGCACTTCGCAGGAGGACAGTGGTCTCAGGGACGCCACCAGAGCGTTACCAGATAAAATCTTTCCAGTTTGTTTTGCCCAAAGGAATGATCTTTGTGCCATCGGCCCCACGAGTGGTGGCACACGCTACGGTGTCCCAAACTGAACACATCCTTTTACTCGCCGCTTTCCTCCTTTGTTCTTCCACTCCCCCCCCACCCAATCTCTCTCTAAAGGAAAAACAAGGGACTGATGAAAACAGCTAAATCACTGGCAGCTAGTCCGGAAATCAACCTCATGTTTATCAGCACACCTGCCCTCACATGGTTTCAAAGCAATTAAAAAAAAACAACAAACAAACCAAACCCAATCAAATCAATTGAATCACTTCTCTACATGAAACTGCACAAACATTCATTGTTCCTGGACCCGCTATCAACTCCGCAAAAGCTGCTTTGGATTTAACTAATCACAGGGATTCAGTGCCTTTTAATAAACAAAGAAAATAAGAATTCTGCAGCAGCCAGTGACTTGCACAGTCGCTAATTCTTGCCACGGCCCTACAGTGGACTGGGGCTACGCTTGTTCCCCCAGTTCTCTCTCACTTGAAGCACATGAGACAGCTTCTGTAGGCTGAGCGTACGCTTACCACGCTGCTGCATCAGCACCGTGCTCAGCAATTTGAGGGATTTGCTCCTGAAACTTTTTAGCATCAGTAGTTTCAGGATGCAAGTCACGGCGCTGGCTTCGATCTCTACAGCCTCCGGCTTTTAGCTTAGGGCTCTCTCCAGGAAAAGAGGAGTTCTCTACACAGGAACGTTACAGCAGAGTAAGGTACGGCATTCCGGCTACTCAGCACCTGCTTCCTTCAAGAGCCCCATTAGCACGCACTCAGCAGACCCAACTTATTTTAAAAGAAGCCTTAGAGTCTCCAGACTTAATGCAGCAGCAGACGAGGGTGCCACAAACCAGGACCGCTCCCCAGGGGCACCGAGGGTTCGGCTCCGCAGGAGGGAGACGGCTCGGGGCCCGCGGTTTGGAGATGCCGAGAGAGAAGAACTGAGCAACAGCTCCACACCGGCTCGAAGCCGATCGGCATGAGAGACCCAGCGCCACTCCAGCTTGCTGTGTAATAACTTCCCTTTGCAGACACGTGCTTGGGCTGTGCCAGCACTTGAAGACTTCTTTTCTTGTTGGTTTTTCCCCCCATTGTTGCTAGTTCTTTCTCAGTTTCAAGTGGCATTTGGTATTTTAACCGTATCTGGTTGCTCTTTTGTCCTCAGAACGAGACAAGATGGTGCCTACTGAAAGCATCCAATTCACATTCGTTGAACAAATAATCAGAGTGAGAAATTTCCTGATTCAAAAAGAAAAACAATCCGCTATGGGCAAGGCTGCTTTTTATATTCTGGAACAGCTCTATTCAATACATTCCACTTTTGGAGCTCTGAGCCCAGGAACAATATGCGAAACCAGCCCTTGGCCGTGGCACTGAAAAACACTTCCCAGCCTCTTACTCAACAATGTTCACATCCTTGATCCTGTTATCTGTAGCACACAGAAGGATTTTAACTACAATATGTGGTGTGCAGGTACTCGGGAACAGAGCTGCGAGATCCGGCTGCCCAGAGGATGAGGACCATGCCTGGGAAAGTTTAATTATCCCACCAGAGGAATTACTTGCTGCCTTAATATCTGTTTGCTGTTACAGTACTCACAAGAGTTTTACTGAGAAAGTATTCAGAGCAGTGCACTCAGAATCCCGTGCTAGGCTCATCTCTGAAGTCGACCGACTTGTATGATGCATTTATAAAGAGGGAAACAAAAAGGCCAACCAAAAACCATCAAGATGAAAACTCCTTCATACTCACAAAGCATCACAGAGAAAACAACGGAAGCTTAGCATCTCTTTCTTCTGCAGCATGTAACTGGGTTCTGTGAAGAGCTTTGGCAAGTTCTGTTGTCTGTAGTGTGATGCAAAAACACTACGTGGAAATCAAAGAAGTCAGATAACAAAAATGACAGAGCTGCCAGGTTCCACCTGGCGAGCAGCACGGACACCCTTCTTGACTCCCTCTTCTCATCCCTCCTCTGAGCAGGGCACGGAATCGATGTGGTTTAGAAGCCACCCCCGCCAGTAAACACCAGCCTGCTTCATTTTCTACCCATTAAAGCGACCGTTCCGAACGAGAAGCCAACTTCCAAGCTCAACAATGCAGCATCAGGTCCTAAAGTCGAGGCATGCTCGCTACCGCGGGACAGCCGGTTTATGTGAGCGGTGCGGTGCCAGCCAGTCAGCAGGAGCCAGCCAGCTGACGCGGCTGGGGGAGAGCCACAAGCAGCCACTGTTCGGCAGAGAGCTTTTCAGGAATCCCTCCTACAAGACAGTCTTTGCAAAAGGCTACACTGCTGCCGTCTATCTCGCTGAATGAAATCCCGCAGATGAACTGCTGAACAAAACACCCTTTCAGTTCACGCAAACGCTGGCATACAACCTTTACACTCTGCCAGTCAGTCCCAGCACAGCGAAGTTTTATGGTTCTGAACGTTATCAAAATTGCTTTGTCTGTTCCTCACAGCAACATTGTTCCGGTCAAGTTCATCTAAGGATAAAAGGAGTGCAACATTTTTAGAGAGGCAACACCTTGCAGGAGAAAGCTGAGGTGTCAGCATGCAGCCTTCTCATCAGGAGTCTACTTTAAAACCAAAGGCCTAAATTCTCCCTTTGTGATCCGCACCAGCACAAGTTTAGTCATTCCTAGCAACGAGTGGTACAATCTCCTTGTTAAACAAGGTGGAAATTCTTAAGGACATTTACGAAAACAAGCAAGCACCCCCTTCTCCAATGACTCCTATTGCCCACATACTCACGGCAGAAACTCCCCATCAGCATTCACGCTCGTAAAACAACTTGCCATGACAGCTATCTACAGGTTACTTTCTCTGACCGTTGAGTATGTTCTCTGACCCTGCAACAAAGGAACGAAAACTACTAACCCACAAAAACTCTAAAGTTATTTCAGCTGAGAGTCTGGTTTAAATTAATACACAAAACTATTCTATACATCACCTATTTCCAATACTGTCCTCCTTTCCACAAACACGCCTCGCGTAATAAACCAGTTCTGAACGTACGTCATACTTGTGTTCGCTTTTTTCTAGACCTCCTACAGCCTGCTCCGAAATGAGTTCTTCCTTCCATCTGTTTAAGACACATGGAAAAGTCAAATCCTGTTGTGACCTCAAGGAGCCATACCAAATCCTATCCAAAAAATTCAAGTACTCCATGCTAAGGGATGCAGGAATTTTCTCATTCGGGAAGCGTGAGCAGGATATTGATGATAATGTCACAGCACAAGTCAAGCACAAGGGAAAGGATGTACACAGTCACCCTTCCCGGCCACCTACACCTAGGCACGGGAGAGCAATACGTACCCTATTAATGCTGCTGCTGTCTGGATGGCAGCGAGGGCTCGCGTGGAGGAGGGTGCTAAGCTCCAGATCAGCAACCATCTGTCAAGACTCGGCCAGCACGTGCTGCAGCTTACTGACAGGGGAACTGCTGTCCTGGAGGAGACACAAAGTCAGCCAAAGTTATGAAACCATCTTTTTGGACTTCGTCAAAGGATTGTCACATACCAAGAATCGTCACTTTCATTTTGAAATGCCTCAGTTTGAGGTGTTACTGCGTAGCACTGCTCCAGGCTAAGTGCTGGTATTTCTGCTAAACACAGGGGTTTCTCCTAGCGTCAGCTTTTTAACAGCTCTCCACACACGCACGTGTGCACAGCGCACACAGCAGCAGTACTTCCATGACAAAGGAGAGAGTAAACAAAGACAAGAGAAAGAGGGGAGGCCAGGCAGAACAAGAAAGAAACCATCTGCAATAGCTTCTAACAACTGTGACCAAGCGTACTCAGATATTGTGCGTTACTGCAATTAACACGTATCAGCCAGCATCCACTATCTTCAAGCCTTTCATTTCAAAAGCTTATTGTTTTTGAACTGACGTATGCTGTTCAATACCTACTGAGACCACAAGGAATTCTTCTGAAAACATCTTTTACCACTTTTGCCTTAAACCTGCTGTCTCATCATTCAAGTCCCTAGCTCTTCCACGCCAGCAAACATTTGCTTTCCCACCATCAGTCACAATTCCCCTTAAAATTAATGAAGCGCATCCTGCAATAAAATACTGACTTCGTCCAAGGTAGCACTGCAGCATCTACTTGTTGGCTTAGTCACCGAAAGGTTAGTGATCTCCAGAGGGAAGTCTTCTTCAGAGAATTTCTCCCATCTCTGAGGCCAGTCTCCTTTCTGGGTGGATGTCAAACAGGGAGAATCCAAGTGGAAAGAATTCAGATCTACATTTTCTTCACTGTTAAAAAAAAAAACCCAGACGTTGCCAGAAACAGTACCACCATCCTTTTTAAACTTTCAAAGGAAAATCATGGGACAACATCAGTAATTATGGGCCCTGAGCCAAGAAAACCACCAAGCATGCCAGATTTCTCTGTTCCTCAGAGTGCTTCCCATCTTTCGCAGCTTCATTAGATCGGTGTCATCCACTGAGGATGACAGTCTGACATCCAACCAGTTTCAAGAACAGCTCCACTACCATGTGCTTGAGTATCTATTTAACCTTGCAAAGAGCACACACAAAGCAACATCTAGTTCCTCCCCATAATCCGTTACTCTTTCTTCTCTCATACACTACTCCCTTTTTTTTTTTTTTTAATCAACAATTAGGAAAATTAATATTTTTAGGGGTACTTGTCAAGGGTAGTTCCTCCCCATAATCTGTTACTCTTTGTTCTCTCATACTCCTTACTCTTTGTTCTCTCATACTCATACTCTTTGTTCTCCTTCCCCTCTACACTGCCCTGGTGAGGCCTCATCTGGAGTACTGTGTCCAGTTCTGGGCTCCCCAGTTCAAGAAAGATGAGGAGCTACTGGAGAGAGTCCAGCCCAGGGCTACGAGGAGGATGAGGGGACTGGAGCATCTCCCCTACGAGGAGAGGTTGAGGGAACTGGGCTTGTTCAGCCTGAAGAAGAGAAGGCTGCGAGGGGACCTTATAAATGCCTACAAATATCTGAAGGGTGGGTGTCAGGAGGATGGGGCCAAGCTCTTTTCAGTGGTGCCCAGTGACAGGACAAGGGGCAATGGGCACAAACTGAAGCACAGGAAGTTCCGTCTGAACATGAGGAAGAACTTCTTCCCTCTGAGGGTGACGGAGCACTGGAACAGGCTGCCCAGGGAGGTTGTGGAGTCTCCTTCTCTGGAGATATTCAAGACCCACCTGGACAAGGAAGAACAGCTCCACTACCATGTGCTTGAGTATCTATTTAACCTTGCAAAGAGCACACACAAAGCAACATCTAGTTCCTCCCCATAATCCGTTACTCTTTCTTCTCTCATACACTACTCCCTTTTTTTTTTTTTGTAATCAACAATTAGGAAAATTAATATTTGTAGGTGTACTTGTCAAGGGAATTTCGCAGTCTTTTAAAGTCCTCATCTCACTTCAGAGATCACAGGAGACCTTTCCCAAAGAGGCTTTCTTGTATTTAAAACACAGCAGCAAACAGGAAAGCGCTGTTTGGGCAAACTGTGGCGAAACCCAGAACTCCGCTGCCTGACTACCATTTCAGCGCGGGGCTGAAGCAGACGATCTGTTGGCATACATCTTCCCCGGGGTTTTAAAGCAGAACAAAATACTAATTTAGCACTGGGTCTATCTGAGTGGATTTAGGAATATCTGAAAAGCAATTTAAATGACAGAGCAACAGATCATACCCTGCGCAGCATTACTGTCCGAACACTGACTCACAGGCATCCCAGGCTTGTCCTAATGCAAAAGGTCTTTAGCTCTTCATACGCACGTCCAATGATTGAAACTCTTCTCTAACACGTTTCCCACACTAAAAGTTACCTTTATTACAGCCTACCCTAGAGAAAAACAGTTCTCAATCTCCATTCCGTAAATTGCTATTTTATCAAAAGGTACTAAATCCCTCACTCGGCTCCAGCACCAATTAATCACAAATTAAGACTAGAACTAATCAAAGCTGTAGCATATTAGAAACCACCTCGATCTCCCTGACAAAGCCCTCCTCCCCTGGGATCACCTTTACCTGTGCTTTTCGGGCTTGTACAAAGACGCGCCCTGGTTTCTGCCAGCAGTTTCAAGCTAGGCAGTGAATTTCATTTTCCACTGCTAATTTCCACTTCATACAGTTTTTAAGAAGTAAACAGAGACCACCTCCCCAAAATAAAACATTGCTGTATGCATCACACGTCTGCATAAAACAGAAGCACAGCGCTAGCACTGCCTGGATCGGATAAATAATTAAACAATACACACATTTTAAAGAAAACACTATCTTCAAATTTACAACATTTCATTAAATATTCTTTACATATTTATTTTGGTAGAACAACACTTTCCGTACCTGGCCACACTGTTAGAAAAAGGTTTCTTTTCTAAAGACATTCAATCTAAGAAACAGCCCCGGTGAGCGATGCCAGCTCAGCAGTGTCTGCTGTGTCTCACTTCACTTCTCTCGTGAAACACTGGGCTACAACAGGCTTTGAAGAGAGAAGAGCTCACGTTTGTGCGCTTCTGACAAGGAAAGGCTTTGGAGAGATGCGAGGGAACCAGCTGCAGCAGCCCAGAACACAGGATGGGAGGAGATGCAACGGGCACAGCCAGTTTTGAAGCATACGCAGAGGCTGAGAGGCAGGGAGTGGGGAAAACAGGTTTGATTTTGAGGCAGGGAGACGACTCAAGACCGGGTGGCTCAGCCCAGCGGGAGCAGACTGAACAAGTACCTGCTGACGCTCCATCTTTAAAACCAGAACTGAGATAAAAATCCAAAGGCAGCAAACTTTGGTCCAACATAAGTGATGTCACTAAGTCAGGGCAGACAGAAACAATCCCTGCACTACGGCATTTCACAACCTCGCTTGCAGTTGGAGAAGGTATTGGACTGTGTTAACAGCTTCTTGTTGGCTGCTCCAGAATTCCAGAACTCATGTCAAAAATATTTGCTGGGCTGACAGGGAGGTGCCGGCACCCTTCCCTACGCACAAATACATCAGCAGCACTACGAAGCCAGCGCTGGAAAACTGGAGGACCCAGATTCAAGTCCCAGAAGGAATGTTGTGTTTGGTCTCCACCACTAATGCCTTAACAGAAGCCCACACAGAAGACTGCAAGCTACTGCCTTCCTCCCATTTACCGGGCGAGAATTTATTCGGTGGCAAATCAAGAGGGAGCGGAGGCTGGAAACCAGACAGTCTGGGACTTGCACTGAGTCAATCCGTCTCAAATCAGCAGGGATGCTGGGACCAAATGTGGGCATCAACAAAACTTGACAGCTCAGCAGCAAATCCCAAGCAGGCAGAGCAGCCCTCCCTTACTGCAGGATCTCTCTCTATCTGCATTGCCCGGGTTGAATTTGTTCCTTCTCCGCTAAAAGCCCCTTAAGGACAAGAGAAAAAGTGAAAGCACTTCTCATGATTCGGCCTCAGAAGAGATTTGGAGGGGTGGTAAGGTGTCGTCTGTGCTGCTGGGGGAGCAGGTAAGAAAGCTCAGAGCAGACGTAAGGTGCATGGAGTCTTTCTCATGATTTATGGACAGCAGAAACCAGAGAGTCCATGCACAGCCCAGCTAAGCTGTGTGGGAATGTGCCAGGACAGCATTCTTTTTCAATGGCTGCCCATTCACCTCGTTTCTGAACAGGTCTGTCTCACTGCAGTAACCATTTCTATAATATTTTTGTTTTAAAAGCAGCACAGAATGAAAGCATTCGTACATCAGATATTTCCATTCCATAACATTAATTTGTTTGGACGCTGGGCAGACTTGCTGGCTAAAATTCTCAGCAGGTTTGAACAGCCGTTCATTCACTGCACTTGTCAAACTACCAGCTGAAAAGCTGCTACCCCTTCGCTCCTCTCTCTAACAGGCAGCATGAAATGTCTGTAAAACTTCAGAAATCCTTCTAAAATAGAGCTGGTAAGTCAGTCGATTTTCTGAAAGGAATTAGAGGAACCAACACAACTATTCCACAGAAAGTCACAGCTCTGAACGCCCTTGCTTGTGCAGGCATAAAAGCACTTCTATAAACGCGACGCAGCATTTAGATCTCGGATACCCTCCAATACCTCTAAGACACTCCAGTATTTTTCTGACACTTCTCAGCATTACAAACCTCATTCCGCTCATCCCCAACCACAAGTCCTTCCTCCCACAATCTCAACCCAGGGATCGAGTCCCACGACCAAAGACGCACTGGAGGGTGGACAGATTGCTGTCCTCTAAATCTTACCATCGCATTTTCCTGACCTGAGTGAGGAATGGAGCCTGTGCGGAACAGCCATGTCCTACATTCTTGCCCAGCCACTGTGAGATTTCTCAACAGAAATAACACAGTAAATCATCACACAAAATCTAGGTTTGCTTCTTGCCTTACAGAAACATCACTGTAGAAGTCCAGCTCTGGTCAGAACATATTTTAGCCACCAGATGACCCACCAGATTTACAAGCAACATCTGGCATTCCAAAAAGTCGTAAGATTTTTTTAAACCTGCATTTTTCTCAATTAGTTTATTTGGCAAGTTATGTGGTACAGCAGCTTCTCCCACCCACGCAGCTCTTGAGGATGAGAGATGCGAAAAAATAAATGCATAAAAATAGAATCATGATACCTTAGAGCTATGTTAACTTATTTTAAATGTGCTACTTTTCAAGCTGGTAGACTAATTTTAAAACAGCGGTTACTTTAAACCTCACTTGAGATAATGCAAATTATCGAGAGATTGTACATCAGAATTTCTACATAACTCCAGCCTGTACCTATCTATTTCTTAAATGTAACAAGCATAGAACCTTTTTGGGCTGGCACATTTCATCTCTGGTGCAGTTTTCAGACAGCTGCAATCTTTTCCATGCCATAGACTTCCATCTCCTTTTACGGGTTTGAAAATCTTTAACCATTCTGGATCTGATACTGGCTTCCACCGTGCATCTTTATTTCTGATGAAGTTATTACTACAGGAATGAGATTCAGACTTGTGAATTGCAGCAGGAGTCTCTCTGCCTTTTCGACCAAATCAAATTCCAGTTCTCTCTTCCCAGGCTTTATCTGCATTATCAGTTTTGTCAGATGTGATGGTGTTGTGGATCAAAGCACTCGGCGAATCTACGCAAGAACTGACATTAAGCTGGTGCTCGTATTCAGGTGAAGATGACTCAAAGGTTTGTTGGTCTCTGCTTTCCACTCCATCCTCAGAAATTTCCCTGTTTCTCAATGGCCTTGTGCTGTTTGCCTCACAAAAGACTTTGCTGTGTAGCTCATCAAAGCTTGATGCAACATCCTGCTTCTCTTCTTCTTCCGCAAGGACAGCCAAGACTTTCACAACTTTTTGACACAGGTTTAAGTACGCTGGGGTAGTTTCCTCCGAGTCTGATGCATTCAGTAACAGTCTGTTATCTACTTCGCACATCTCAGAGGGGGTGCTTACCCTACTTTTTGGAACCCGTGCAGTTCCACACTCCTTGCATATCATCCCGTGGGTGCCCTCAGTCCTAACCGTGTCTGTCTCGCAGTGAGTTTCAGGGGCAGAGAATGCTGTACCTACGCTACAACGGCATGACAGAGAAAACAGTCAGAAATACTGCATTCAGAGAGCACACGTAACCCTACCCAAGGTTAAAGCTACACATTAACCAGAGGCTGCAGCCATGGTTCTGTGGGAGTTCACACACCAACAGGCAGCTGTATCCTGCCAAAACCCGACAGCAGTCTGCCCAGATTTGGCTGTGACTTTCCAAAATCAGTCTGAGAGTTCCCTCCTGTTTTACATAGTGCGGGGATGCTGTCTGAACCTCCAGGGTTTGCACCAGTTCCCTAATCTGAAAGCAAAATAAACTTTGATTTTTAAACAAAAGCAGCAGCGGGCCAGATTAACACCCTTACCACCAGACTATTCAATTTTTTCAAAAATCATTACCTGGCCTGTACACAACACTTTATTCTGTGATTGACACTCACGGTGTGTCCTGACCACGTGAAAAAAGGTATCCAACAACTTCACTGCATGTTTGTGGTTGAGTGCAGCAAAGCCATCTCGACACAGCACATATCTCTTTTAGGATGTTAGTTGTGGCTGAACAGAGAAGTCTCTCTCAGAGAATTCACTACTAAAAAAAAAAGAAGATTCCTTTACCTCCTTTCATGTGCCACTTTTTCACGCTTTTGCCTTAGTCCCTGAGAGCTCTCCAAATTGACATGAAGGAATTGCAAGTCACGCTGCTGTTTTAAGTAGATCTGTTTAAAGACAGCAATGTGCATTAGTGAAAGTCTGGAGTGCAGGAACATTGTCACCAGGTACTGACACGTTGCTTGTCTTCCAAAAATAACCTCAGAACACTTCAACAAACCAATACGTGGACTCAAACTATTGTCCAAGCCTTCCAAATCTAAGGGGCCATCTCCATATGTAGTTACAAAAACAACATTTTGCAGCAACAAACAGTATTTCTATTACAAGACCGCGGCATTCTTCTAAGACGGAACCACACTCAACCATAAATACAGTATCATTACTGTCACTTGATATTTAATACATGCTGTTATTACATTGTTCAAAGTTTGGCAGAATTACAGGACATGAACGATGATCATGGTATTTGGCTTTCACTGCAGAGGGGGTTTGTAAAGCTAATGTAGAAGATAACCTACTGATAGTTATTTGCAACAAAAGAAACCTAAACATGCCCGGAGAGCGTCCAGCGAGTGCAGCTGAAAACGCTGTTTGAAGTCTCTTGAAAAACAGATCTTTCAGCACGCCACGGGCCCTTCACGCCGCCTGAGTTCACCTTGGGCAAGCGTGCAAGGCAGCACGCCCCACTCCACGTGCCGTCCCGGAGCCTAGCACTCTCTGGTTCTACACACACGCTGACCAACTGTTATCTCAACACGGTGCCCCACTCTGCCGCTGTGAGGGTGGTATTTACTCATTGGAGGACCGAGTTAATACAGTTATACGAAAAAGGCCAAAAGCGCATGTAAATACAAGGATTTGTACTATGGGCTTTTCATTTTAACAAAAAAAAAAAAAAAAAAAGAAAAAAAATCATCATTCTGTAGGGATCCCAGCAAGGCAGAAATGGTAAGAAACAGAAACAGCCTCATTTTTTTTTCTTAATTAAGGATAGCTAGAGCTAACTTTTTTATACCGTTCCCTGCAGATCCAATGTTACTGAAAAATGCCTTCATAATTTCAGAGTAGACACACAATTAGGGCTGTACCTGTCGCAAACTGGATAGTTCTGTGTCAGTCCACGCTTGTTTAGACTTGGCAGACTGAAGAAGCTGATCCTTTCTCTTTGCTTTCTCAACTGTTTCGAAACATAGACAATTTTCAAATTACTTAAAGCAAACAGACACAAAGCAAGTCCATTTATTAACGCATATGTTTGTAGCAGTAGAAACAGGTACCTAGACAAAATAAAAACATTTTCTTAAGATCAGCAGGATCTGTTTCCCCTCCAAATACAAAGACCACAAAACCCATAAGGCAACCAAACAAATCAAGTATCTTGCTTGGACTTTTCACCAGCACCTAGCTTTATTTTACTAGCAGCAACATCCTGGTTCATTGACTGATTTATTTTACTTTTTCTTGTTCACATTCTTCCATGGAAAGGAAATTCAGTAATTCATTCTAATTCATGCCTTGCACAGGGAAGAGCTGGGAAATACTTCCCATTACTAGTGTTTTTAAAATAATGAGACATGGGATCAGTATTTGGCAAAGGTAATCGCACGTAAAAAGTGACAGGCAAGGAAACCATCTCCCAGCAGACGACATCTTTGGTCACCTCCTCTTGCAAGGCATATTGCTTGTCTGGAAGAACGCTGCAGCCAACAAGCAGCCTGCCTTCCCTACCCGCTGCAAAACAGAAGAGTTTCTCTCTGCCCAAATCCAAAGCGAAGCTACCAACCCATAGCAAGCTGCGGTTCACCAAGTCCTGCATATGAACCTGCCTAAACCAAACCCAGCAGCTAAACAAGGGAAAAAGTGAATTTGCAAACATAATTCTTCCATACAAACGCTGGGCAGAGTGAGCGGTAATTTCATAGGGCCTAAGCTTTACGTTTTGCACGTGGCTTCTTTTCAGGGGGTCACCATTCTCTAGGCAACCTGTGTCAGACGGGAGAACGCCAGCCCATTTATTGCATTAATACCACAGCACACGCGAAAGCCTCAAAAATTTTCTAGAGAGACTCCTCTGAGCCACTCGCTCCTCTGTGCATAATCACACCGGTGAACTTTGTGCTCTTACAGGCTTTTATAAACTGGCCTTGCAGAAGCCCTAGATACTGCTGTCATAGAAGAATGACACGCACAAAGGCATATACCGTTCTTAAACTGCAAGAAAGGTAGATAAGCAGCTGCCTCCTTCACAGAGATTAGTGAATTGTCACTGCCCAGAAGTCTCCGAGCTGTTCAAAGCCACAGCCTGAAAATCCAGCTGCCCACACTCACCAACAAGCGCGAGCTCGTTCCGCAAGCAGCCGTTATTTCTTGTTGGAGGTGAAGGATTTCTTCCTGCTGCTTCTTATTTTCTTTCATCTTTTCACAGAGGTCATCTTTAAAACAAAATGGAGCAGTTCCCAGAATGAAAAGGAATCCTGCTGGTCTGCACCGAATTAGGTGCCCAGCATAGACATTTACCTTTCAGATCCTTTGCTACAAGCATTAGTTCTTTCAGTCTCAGGCTGAGGTCTTGCTTTTCTTTGTGGAGACTGAATTCCTCCGCCTTTGCTGCACGCAGTGCACTTTCCAGCTTTCTGAATTTAGATGTAAACTCAGTAATGTGGTCAATTGTTTCAAGCATGATCTCATCCTGAAACAGGAAACAAAATGCGTTCTCATTTATTGTTTGATCTTCACGTATGGATTTTGACAAAACAACAGTGCATCCTGCGACAGTAGTTTTAGCTACTTCATAGATTTTCTTCTGAGCTCTTGTGGAAAAAACCCAAAAATTAAAGCCAGGAAACCAGCTTGTTCCTGAATGTAAACCAGTTTATTTGTTGACCACTTTTTCCTCCTCCAAGAAGCCTAAGAATGAACCAACAGCGAGACCAACAGTGACTAAACCACTGTGGTACCATCACCAGTAACTGCCCTGCAGCTTGACCACATCTGGGGCCTGGTGAGATGACAGATGGTACCTTCAGCTTCAGCAGAGTAAGCAGCTCCTGTTCCCTTGCTTGCAGCTGGCTTGTTCTAGCAGACAGTTCCAAAACCGAGCAGTGGAGACTTTGGTTTTTCTCCTAGTGAACAGAAATAAGAGTGTTGGCTACTATTTCAGTGATTCAGAGGTACTATTTTTTCCAGTAAATGTGTGAACAACTTTATTTAAACATCATGAATGGCAGCGTGGGATTCCAAGCAAGCTGTGAGGCTCTGGAGAAAAGAGGACTGGAACAAAAAATGTTCCCCTATTCATTACAACCAAACCTGCTTGCAATCAAGGGTCTTAATATCCTGCATGAATTAAGTCAAGCTGATTAGACAGATGAAAATGCAGAATACTGCTTTACCTTATTGTATACAGGGGGAAAATTATCCCAATAAACACTTCATTGCCAAATCACTTTAAAAAAAAAAACTAGAACCCTTGAATACCACTTATTTTCATATCCTTAAACTGGTTTCAGAACGTTACAGTCCATCACAGTCACCAAAGCTGCAAATAAAACCTTCTGGAACTTCCTAACCAAGCACCAGTATTGTTCCGGGGGCCAGCACTGCCTTTCGCAGTCACTGTGCCTAACGTTTCTGGAGGCAAGTTGGTTCTGAGCAGCGTTCCCCAAAACGCAGCAAACTCCAAATCCGAGATCAGGAAAGCTTTTTTGCCTTTCCCCCCTGCCACACACAAAAAATTAGAGCTATACCTTCATCTAACATTAGCGTACCAGAAGACAAAGGCAACTCATGAGCCTTAACCTGAAATAGTTCTCCACTAGTGACACTCACAAATGCCACCGGTGTTCTGCACACGCACGGACTGCAGAATCAGACCACCAGTCAACTCCTACCTCCAGAGCCTGAGAGTGAGCAGTTGCATCTGTTACTTTTAGCGACAGCTCTTCAAACTTCTGTTGCGTATTTTCAAATGCTGTCTTACTCCCATTCTGCTGAGATTCTAAGAACTTTAACCTTTGGGTCAGTGACTTTATAATTCCACTTCTCTTGTTCAGCTCATCTGTAAAGAAAGGAGACAGGGTATAGATGAGAAAACAGCTCAAATACCATCACGCAATTTTTTAAGTCTCAGAAATAATTTAATCCAGTGTTTTAAAATCATGTGATTCAGAAATGGATGCTCTGAAGCAGGATTCCCTAGCTACCCAGGTCAGATGGAATGCAAACTCTGCAGTGACCTCTGTGCTATGGCTGTCAACCAAGACCGCTCAGAGCTGCCGCGGGGCTCGCGGACGATGCCAGAGCTCTGCAGCAGAACCTCAGGGCCCAGGGCTCTGCAGCACAGCAGCGCGTTTTCACGTTGTTCTCTTCCCCCATATATATTTCATCAGATTTTTTTAAAGACTCCACAGAAGGTATTTACACACCCAAGAAAGAGCCAGAGAGCTTAGAGAAGGCTCCATGGTGACCTTAGAGCAGCCTGCCAGTACCTGAAGGGGCCGACAGGAAGGATGGAGAGGGGCTTTTCACAAGGGTGTGTAGTGATAGGACAAGGGGTGATGGCTTTAATATAAAAGAGGGCAGATTTAGATTAGATAAGTAGGAAGAAATTCTTCACCATGAGGGTGGTGAGGCCCTGGCCCAGGTTGCCCAGAGAAGCTGTGGCTGCCCCCTCCCTGGCAGTGTCCAAGGCCAGGTTGGATGGAGCTCTGAGCAACCTGGGCTGGTGGAAGCTGTCCCCGCTCATGGCAGGGGAGCTGGAACCAGATAAGCTTTAAGGTCCCTTCCAACCCAAACCATTCTATGATTCTATTTGATTATCACCTCCCCTTCAAGAACAGATCACTTTGGTACCACTGTGGAAGTTCTGCTCCCAGAAAGAAGACAAACAAATTTAAGGCTGAAGGGTAGGAAACGGTTCCTTGTATGATGAAAAACTGCTCTGGAGGGGTCCAAGCACCTGAATGTACTTAAAAGGCCAGGGTCTTCTCTTTTAGAGGCACAATACATATTGTTTAATAAGTTGCATTGTTCTCCTAAAGTCAGTATTTTTTGCAGACCGCCTTCCCAGGCTAGCAGCTGTCAACCATGTCACCGAGCTCCCGATCACGATCTTTCAGTTCTGCAATCAAAAGCTGAAGCTCGCTCTTGCCTCTGTTTCCGAACGGTGCTGTTCCCAAGGGTTGGGCTAAGTTTCTATAAAAAGCAACACACAGAATACGTTTCAACATGAAGAAGCAGCGACGAATTCTCAGACAATAAACTCGGGGTTGTAATTGAAGTTAAAATATTTTTAGAATATAAACAGAGACCGTTCCAAAAAGCTCCTCAGGCTTGCGGTACCACCTGTGGTCCTTGGCTCCAACTGCCAGCGGTACAGCGACCACTTTAATGTTCAAAGAAAGAGGGCTGCCATGGTTGCTGCGCTTGGGCTCGTTACCTGAGGCGAAGCAGAGCGCGGCAGGGCCGGATTCACAGCGGAGCGGGGACCAGCGCGCTGCCAGGCGCTGGTGGATACCGGCCGGTATTTCGGGCCGTCCC